GCTGGAGGCCCCAAGGCAGGGACGGAGGCGGGGGTCCCAGCCGGGGGGGAGGGCTGAGCCAGGGCTCAGCAGCACTTTCAGGACAGGCACCGGCAGAGACGGGCACAGATGCGGCCTGGGGCTGCTCCCAGCAAACAGCAACTTTATTCACAGCACTGCTCCCTCGCCCCTCTGCACGGATCCCCCTCCCCAAAAAGACAGCCAGGAGACTCCCCGCAGTCCCTTGATAGGTTACCAGTTCCGCATGTTAACAGGTTTGTTGTCTCACAAGGCACTTGGGTCTTTTTTTTCCCCATTTTGGAGGAGATGAGGGTTTCCCTGTCCCCAGCGGTTGTGCAAGCCCCCTCGCCCCGATGCAAGTCCAGTGCACACATCTCCAGTGAACTCACATTAGCCAGAAGGGAAGCCAAAGCCCAGGAGCCGCGTTGCGTGGGAAGAGCAGCAGCAGCTCTGGTTTTACAAAGGACGGGACGGATTCAGACCCAGGGCAGGAGGGAGCAGCATCGCCTCTCCCCACCAAGTGGCACAGGTCTGGCATGGGGCTCAGGACCAAGTGATCACAAACTGCTCCCACATCGGCAGCGACACGGGGACTCTCAGCACCTGAGGGGGAGAAGGAAGCGTCAGCACGGTGAGGACCGGCTGGGATGCAGCCCAGGGAGTGTCAGAACCAAGGGGGAGGTCTTGCCCCCCTGAGGTGCATGCAGAGATGTAGCTCGGCACGGCCCCGGTCCCACAGACCCCCCTGGGAAGGGTGCCCATGGCAGACAGCCCCAGGAGCAGAGCCGTGCCACTGCTCCTCACAGAGCTCCAGCCCCGTCACCATGTGTCCTTTCCATCCTCCATCTCCCCATCCTCGCCACCTTGCACGGCCTAATCCTGCCCTGACCCCAGGGCAGTGACCCAGCCCATGCTCGGCAGCCCTTTACGCTCCTTGGTGCCAGCAAAGTGGGTACCGTGCCATCGCTGGGGCCAAGCCCTGCCAACCCCTCGGCTGAGCCCCCACCAGTCCCTTCCCAGCCGCCAGCTGGCAGCTCCCCCCCGCCGCCGCCCCCTCCCACAGGGGGGATGAGCACTCGCCTGGGTGTCGCTGCGGTAGGAGAAGTCACCCACGAGGGCACCGTTGGCCAGGACTTGCCGGGGAGGGCTGGTGACGCCCAGCACGGTCACGGCCTCCAGCAGGACCCCGTCGAGGTGGGCGCTTGCCTGCAGGAGCTGGCTGAGCACGGCGCCCTGCGGGGACAGGGAGGGCATCACCCCGCGCCCCCAGGTCCCAGCCACCCGGCACGCACCCAGGGCTTCTCGGCGTGCCCTGCCCACTGCGCTGCCCATCTGCAGGGCACTGAGCCCAGGGGGACGGGCACTCTGCCACCACTGAAGAGCGGCAAAGCCATTTATCAGAGGGACAGGGCTGGAGAGCATCCACTGCTGCGCAGCACCACGGGTGCAAGAAGAGAGCAGCCGGCTCCCTGGCACAGCCTCTCCCCCTCCTAAGTGGGCTCCTGGGGCGGCACAGTCCCCATGGGACCCCTCCGCCTCACAGTGCTGTAGCCCACACTGAGAACCCGCTGCAGGGCTGTGGCTCAGTCTGGCAATTTCGGCACGACACAGCTTGGCTGCACCAGGGCACGGTGCTGCCTATGACCGTGTCTGCCCCAGCAGCACCAGGACCTGCACGTGGCAGCAAACGCCCGTGCCCGGATGCCCCTCAGCAGCCCCCCCTTGCTCACGTGCGTGGCCAGGAAGAGGATCTCGGTGTAGTCCCCCTTCTCAAAGGTCTGCCAGCTCTCCCCGTCATCCCAGAACAGGTCTCCCCTGGCAAAGCCGTCCAGTGTCAGTGCCACAACCAAGGCCATCCCCTTCTTGCGGGACTCAGTAGTGCTGAATGCAGGCTCCTGGGGTGCAGGATCAGGCACAGCTCCGAGCACTGCCAGAGTCGCTTTCCCCCAGCCCCAGCCGAGTACCACAGGCTCACGGCTCATTCGGCTACATCCAGTCTGCTGGTGACCGCAGCGCAGCCCTCCACCCTGCCCCACATGTGGGCAGGGGCTGGCCAAACAGGTCACCGCGGCGTCACCGCAGCGCGGAGGGGGCTCACCTGCAGGGGCAGGATGTGCCCTGCGCGGACATGGACGTTAATGGTGTCCAGGGGAGCTTGCAAGAGGATCCACTGCCCTTTGCTGTGGATGGTGGAGTCCTAAATAACAACAAAAAGAGGAAAGAGCAGGCGTGGGCACAGGGTCCCAGCCCACTGCCGCAGCCCTCAAACAGCCATGAGCGAAGGCAGGCAAGGCACGAGTCCTGAACACAGCCCTGGGGGGCTGGTACCAGCGGTGGGGCACAGGAACGCACGCGGGGTCCCAAGG